GATCCGGAAGTGTCAGCGTGGCCGGGAGCAGCAGGAAAAGGACGGCAAAGAAGGGGGCGGCAAGAAGACCCTGGAGAACGTGGACAGCCTGGACAAGCTGGAATGCAGATTCAAGCTGAACTCCTACAAGATGGTCTATGTGATCAAGTCCGAGGACTACATGTACCGGAGGACCGCCCTGCTCCGGGCTCATCAGGTGAGAGCCAGTACCTGGAATCTCCCCACTTTTATCCCTCCCCAGCCAGGGTCAGGCCTATCCCCAGAGGCGTCTCACTGCTTCTCTCCTTTTATGAAAACCTCCTTTTGGATTTGCGAATCGTCGAGTGAGCAGGTGTATCATCTCGCCAGGGCTGCTGTAACAGTGCCACAGACTGTGGCTGAGCAATTTTGTTGTCTTACAGTTCTGGAAGCCAGAAGTTTGAATCAAAGTGTTAGCAGAGTTGGTGTGAGCCTTCTGAGAGCTGTGAGGGGGAATCTCTTCCATACTTCTCCTAGTCTTTGGTGGGGTGCTTTTAATCTTTGGCATTCCTTCGCTTGTAGACCTCTGCCTGTCTTCACATAGCACTCTCCGTGTGTGTGTGTGTGTGTGTGTGTGTGTGTGTGTGAGAGTGAGAGTGAGATGGATTATGAGCCCACCCTATGACAGTACGACCTCATCTTAATTACTTACATCTTCAAGGACCCAATTGGTACTGAGGGTTAGGACTTCATCATAGGAATCTGCAGGGGACACAGTTTAACCCATAACTGCTAGTAGCACCTTCCATTGAAGCTCCTTCAGGCATTTACATTTCAAGTGGTATTACTTGTATGAATCCTGTTTCACATGCTGTCTCATTGTGAAAGCTTCCTGGCACAGTTGCATCCCAGGTATTGTGCCAGGCCTTGTGATGACCAGGAAGTGGAGCATATAATGTAGTGAGATAGACCACCAAGGAAAGAAACTAGGTGAAGTGATGACAGGTAACTGGCACACGGGCCCTGCTTTTGTTAGGGAGCCCTCTGTAAGGATGTGACACTTGAGATTTGACCAATGATAAGGCTCCATTCCAGTGAGGAGTTGCGGGTTGGTACTTTGTAGTCAAAAGAAACACACCAAGTACAAGGCTCGGAGGAAGGAAAGGACTTGGCAATGTTGGAGAAACTGACCACATCACTGTGGCTTGAGCTGTAGGGAAAACGGGATGCATGAAGTGGGAAGAGTATACAGAGGCCACGTTGCTTGGCCTTATATGCCATGGTTACGGTTATGTTTGCCGCACACTGGGACATCACAGACAAAGATGGCTTGGACTCCTGTGACGAGAATGGGAGTCTGTGTGAGCACAGAGTTGGGAGGGCAAAGACCTCCCAGAAGACTGCTTTGTCCAAGTGAGCGGTGACGGCGACCTGGACTGCCAGGGCGGCAGTGGACTCGGTGGTGATCGGGCGCGAGGAGATGAGAGCAAGGAGAGCACTGAGGATAACATGTGGTGGGTTTCGTGTGTTCTGCTGGAGTAAATGGGAAGTTGAGGAATACACCTGCTAATAGGAGGGGTTACCAGGTTTGGGGGGGCAGATCAAGCATTCGGTTTTGAACTGGTTAAGTCTGAAAGAACTATAAAACATACAGGTGGGAGACGTTGGGTTGGTGGCTTAATGTACTTTCTCATGGTGCTGTGTCTCTGGTTCAAATTATTTGGGAAACTAGATAACACCTAATTCATCTTTGTATCCTGTATCCTGTCTCGCACACGGGCACCAATAAATATTTACTGGATACATAGGTAGGAACGTAAACCTTCACTGCTGTGCCTGGCATTCTGCTGGGCAGGGTAGGTGAAAGAAGAGTGGGTTTTAAGTCATTTGCTTTGCATTGTCTTATAAGTAGATGGCCCTGCTGACAAATGACCAACAGCCACAACTCATTGTGTCTCATTCTGGGTGCATTAGGATCAGCTGGGTTGCTGGTTTTAAAATGCAGATTGATGGAAATGAGGAAACCTGTACCTTTGTATCAAGTTTCTCAGGTAATACTAATGCATGCTGAAATTGAGAAGCACTGAGCTAGTTGTGCCCAGACCCTGTGTTGGCATTTTTTTGTGAGCTTTATAGGTTCCAGCTTCTTACATGTTCTGTGTTTACTTTTTTCAATTCTCTTTAAATGGATTCCTATTGCCCTTCTTTTTACTAACGAGTAGTATCAGACACTTGAGCCCACATCTTCCCTCTGCTGCTTAGGAGAAAATTGGGCTTTGTATTTGAGCTTTTTTGGTCCTGGTTCATGGTGTTTTTTCTTTGTTTCATTTTGCAGTCCCATGAGCGTGTTAGCAAGCGGCTTCATCAGAGGTTCCAGGCCTGGGTAGATAAATGGACCAAGGAGCATGTGCCCCGTGAAATGGCAGCAGAGACCAGCAAATGGCTCATGGGTGAAGGGCTGGAGGGCCTGGTGCCCTGTACCACCACCTGTGACACAGAGACCCTGCACTTTGTGAGCATTAACAAGTACCGTGTCAAATATGGCACAGTGTTCAAAGCCCCATAACTGCAAAGCCAGAGCAGATAACTTGAGGGGAGTGTGTGTTGGGGAGGGGGGCACATGCGCTCACACACACTGAAGAAACAAGGAAGATGCCTTTCAATCCTCATGGGCCTCTCTGGGACACGGCCACCTGATCTGTATGTGGCTGGTGCAACCTGGCACCACGTGGGCTACATAAAAGGAACATGGATACCTTACAAAGCCAGAGCTGGAACTTTTCCCATGGGTTTTTGGCTGTTAGCCTGCCCCAGAGGGGAAGGAAATCCATGCAAGCACAGAGACGTGCAGCTTGCTTGCATATACCAACAGAGGTATGACTGGAGTCTCCTGGGGCCTAGGGAACCAGATGCTGTGCGCATCTTGACTGGCTGGGTACGCATTGACGAGCAGACTGGGGAAGGACTCCATACTCAGATGGATTGTAACTCTGATGGTCACTGCACCTTTCCTCTCTGCACAAAAGGAAAAAAACAACTGGATTTTATTTCATTTTTTTCCCCTTGTCACTCGAGTACATCTAGATACCCATTAGTCTTTATGTGGGAAGTGCAGTTGGCTTTGGGATTGACCATCTTGTGGATTTGATATCCGACGAGTCCCTTGCTGCCCACCCTTCCTCTGCCCTCTGGTTCTCAGCCTCAACAAGTTCTATTCAGTTGTCCTTTTTAGCTCCCGTGGGACTGTTTTGTACCTGCTTCTTAACTAGTCCACCCTAGTGCCATCCACCAGCTTCACTCTCTCACACACACACACACACACACACATTTTAACTTGGTTTTCCTTTTTTGTGTGTAAATAATGTACATACTGTCAATTTTTTATTAAAAGAAATATGCTTTGATGTGCTAGCATAACTGCTCTAGCTTCTTGTGTACCATAGTTCTATGTGGCTTCAGATTTAGGACCTATGAACAGATGTACAAGACATTTATTACACTTTTTACCAAAGGGAGTTACTGTTGTAGTACTTTTCTGTAAAACTTGTCTTCCCCCTTGCCCCCAACATTTTTTTTGTAAATAAATAAAGCTTGGTTCTTAAGGAATAAATTCTCAACCCCAGTCCCTTGTCCTCACCAGAGAACTGTTGTGAAGCAGAGGTTTGGGCTTCAGCTCCTTATCCATTGTGCAAGTAGGATTTTACTTTATGTAGCTAATAGTCAATCAGACTTGTCCCAAATGAAAATATTCCAAACTTTGAAAGTAGGAAACTTATTTTAGTACATGTTTTTTCTCCTTATTTAAACTGTTTGGAAATATTTCATATTTGGGTAAGTTGTCTGGCTATATAGTTTGCATTCTCTATTTTTGCTTACCCTTATCGGATGTTAAGGCAAACAAATACCAAACCAGTATTTGAAAGAAGTAATATACAAGGCATGCGGTATAATTGGGGTTGGGAGGGAGAAGATTTGATACATTTCATTAGCAACTATAAATAGAATGTATATATATTTTTTTATATCATAAACTTAGACTGGCAGACAGTTAAACAGGAGTGACTAGGTATTTATATGTAGTCATTCTGGACTTTCCGAACAAAGACCATCTAAACCCTCCCAGTATTCTGGTGGATTTTTCTCCAGCAACCATTACCCTAGTAATAGTTGCAAAGTAACGAACAGTGTTTTATGTGGTTTTACTTTTTAATTAAAAATCCCCAGAACCACACCACCCAAAACCCACAAAATTTTCTGGCTTGTAGATTTTCAAAACACTGTAGACTTCTCCAATTTTAGACTGTTCTGTTGTCACAGACGGGAGACTGAGCCCAAAAGTGTTTGTTGGCAAAATAGCTTTGTGGAAGATTTAGGGCAAAGCTAGGGGGCAGCCCCTGATTTGCAGGTGGAGTGATACATATTGGGGTTGGGGAAGATAATTCATGTCTTCCCAGCAATAACTCTCTGCTCAAGAAAGATCATGTTGACTTGGAATTATGGGGAAAATTGATGGGCGGCCCCAGCTGTTGCGGTCCCTGCACAGGGTTATTTTCAGAGTACAACTAGGGTAACAGGATGAAATTGGAGGTGTTTCTGGAATTTGGGCTTTCAGTCTCTGTGTGGTAAAAATACATTCTTCCATTAGGACCTTGAATGTTTTGACTCTGATCTGCCATCTCAAATCAAAATCTTTGCAGTTTCTGGTGATGGCCAACAGTTGCCCACCTACATACGATATGTAGTAGAGGAAACAGGTTACTACTGGGGTAGCAAACCCCTCTCAACTCTGTGACCCCCCATCACCTTGAAAGCCTCTATCCCTGGCGCCCGTTCTTTAGATGTTAAGAAGATAGCTGTTAAGAAGACAGGTTTTTCAGATAACCAGAGCCACAGGTGAAACTGAGAATGGGGAGCAAGGGGGTTACTGCTTGCTGCTAATGAAGCTTGATGACAAGCGTGGCGGCACGCGAGGCTTTCGCCTACCATGCCTAATGGTCCCCCGTCTCTGTCCCGAGACATTGGGAGAATCTGGGCATCAAACTCGCCATTATATTTAGGGATTTGCCCGGTGGCCTGCCAGCTGGGAGGAGAGACAGGGAAGCCGCCCCGGAAGCGCGGCTTTCAACCTCCAGCGTCGCAGCCCAGACGTCCAGAGCAGCGGGCTTCAGAGCTGCCGGTGTTCCCAGGAAAGCTCCCCGGGGCGGAAGGCGCCCTTGAAAGCCGGAACGTTTGGCTGCCGCTGCGGCAGCCCCGGGAGCCTTCCGGAGAGCGGGCCGGGCGCGCGGCGATGGCGGTGGCGCCGGCCCTGAAGCACTGGCGCACTACCCTGGAGCGGGTGGAAAAGTTCGTCTCGCCGCTCTACTTCGCCGACTGTAACCTCCGCGGCAGGTGGGGCCCCCTGGCCCTGGGGGTCGAGGAGGGCAGCGGGTCGGGAGGGCGCGCGTCTCCATCCGGCGGCTGGTCCACGGGCGGAAAGGGGGTGGCCTGGAGCGCGTGCCCACAGGCCGCTCCCTCCCAGGCTCTTCGGGGACAGCTGCCCGGTGGCCGCGCTCTCCAGCTTCCTGACGCCCGAGAGGCTCCCCTACCAAGAGGCAGTCCAGCAGGACTTCCGCCCCGCGCACGTCGGCGACAGCTTCGGACCCACGTGGGTAACACCGGAGCAGGGCGGGACCGGCGGGCGGAAGGGTGGGGTCCCTTCTTGGCTCGCTGACTTCTTAGGGCCACCACACCTCCATTGCCAGACCTCTGCCCTAGACAGCCTCTGGCGGCAAGGCAGCACCTCTGCTGGGAGCAGCTCCCTGGTCTCTCAGTGTTCGTGGGGAAGTTTTCATTTCATCCTCCCAGTCCCTGGACACCCCTTAAGGGAGGGCACCCTAGGGACAGGGCACAGACCCTTGATTCTGCCGCTTTCCCCCACCTTGCTTCACATCCTGTTGTTCTGTTCTTGTGGATCAAAGCAGAATATCATGTGACTGATACTGCAGATACTCGGAGAAAGTCTCAAGCCCCTGCTGACCCTGAAGCCAAGGAAGAATGTCGAGGGTGACTTCCATCCCGGGCCCATCTCAGTGCCTCTCTTGCAGATGGTGGACCTGTTGGTTCCGGGTTGAGCTGACTATCCCAGAGGCATGGGTGGGTCAGGAAGTTCATCTGCGCTGGGAAAGTGATGGAGAAGGACTGGTGTGGCGCGATGGGGAACCTGTCCAGGTGAGGTGCCCTGCCTTAGGGACAGGTATGCCCACATGTCAGCCTTGGTCTCGGGAGAAGCCACAGCTGAGTGGCTCTGCCTGCAGTGTGGCATCAGGATTTCAGGACTGGAGAAGTTGCTGCTTAGGCCCCTGTGTGTTGGCCCTTCTCATACTGGGAAATTGAATGGCGAGGTTCTGGGTCCAAATACAAATAGTGCTAAACCAACACTGCCTCTAACTGGCCACCTCCCCATTTGGACTGAAAATAGTTTCTAATCAAGTACAAGAACACTAAGTACAGCCAGATCCATTTATTAGGCCTCTAGTAGGTGCCAGGTGCCAGACTAGTGGCTTTGCAGACCATATTGTCTTTTATTTTCAGTTTTTAATAAACTGGTTTTTACTATATGTAATAAATGCTTTTATGTAATATATGCTTTCAAATAGCTCTGGATAGTAAAAAGTAAAAATTTAGGTCTTCTTCCTCTGAAGTAATGGATCTCTCCCTGCAACCCCATCCCAGTTCCCCAAATATAACAACTATTGTCTTGTTTATGCATCCAGCCTTATCAGGTTTAATCTTTATAATCCTATGTGCTGAGTCTTTATGCTCAATTGCAGGTTAAGAAACAGATATACAGAGGTTAGTTCACTTAGCTCAGGTTCACACGGCTTCCATTCCACCTGGACTGACTTTAAGTCTCAGGACTGTCGTTCTGCCTGTATGGAAAGATGGCAAACCCTCCCTCACTGGCTCAGCAGGTGTCTCCCGAGTGACCTCTGTGGGCTAGGCCCTGTGTTAAGCGCCAGGGGTATAGCAGAGGATGAGGCAAACCTGTCCCTGACTTCAAAGAATTTCCCTTCAGATACTTAACTTGAGTACAGAGGCCACCAGATGTCACACTTAGGTTCCTGACACCTGCCCAAGGCCTTTCCCAGAAGACCAGGGGCTTTTCTGCTGGTGAACAGGTGCCATTTGCTGGTCATGGAACTGGCCGCCATAGGGGTTGGGGCACCTGCTACCAGGAGTCCCTCTGTCAATCTTAGCCATACCTGAGAGTGAGGAGGCAAAACTGGGGACCGGGTGGAGGGGTGTGGCCTCCTTCAGCTTATACTTGATCTGAACCGTCTAAAGTCTCAGGCCCTGTCTCTTTCACCCCACTACCCACCAGGGTCTGACCAAAGAAGGGGAGAAGACTAGCTATGTCCTGACCGACAGGCTAGGGGAAGGAGACCCCCGGAGGTGAGTGAGTTGCTGTCCCCTAGTTGACCAGTGCTGTGGGGGAGAGGGCACCAGTGGGCAAGGAGGAGCTGAGGCCCAAAGTGGTCTCAGAAACACACCCACCTCCAACATAATCATCCTCAAATCTCATAGTTCGTTTTTAAAAAGCAAGATTTTCTTCCTATGAAAATAATGTTTGTCTTCTTGTGATAAATACAGAAAAGCACAAAAAAGTAAGTACTTTTTGTCCCACCACCTAGAAATGACCATTATCAACATCTCTGCGTTCATCTCGAATTCTTCCAAGCATAGCTTTTACTAGTTGAGGTTGTATTTCTTTGATATTTTGCATCCTGATTTTTTTCATTCCATATAGTAACGTGTATTTTATGACACCTTAAAAACTCTTCTTAGGCATTATTACTATATTTTGTAATTATTGAACACTGTGTGTCTGATCCTTCCAGATGTAGCACTGTGATAGTGAGTAACGTGGCCTTTGACAGCAAAGGGGACTCATTTGTACTTCCCTAATTGCCAACCTGATGAGGGCTCTGCAAAGACACACGGGGTACTCGGGAGGAGAAATCTGGTCTGGACTGAGGAGAGGGGTGGGAGCAGGGGCAGGGGGCTGCCCCGGGGAGGGCGTGTTTGCTCTCTCGGCCCTGAGAACAGCACCGCAGCCAGCCATGCTGTTCCAGAGACTGTCCCACACCATGCTGGCTGACGGACGCTCACTCTGAAAGATGAGACCTGGGAGATCCAAGTATGTTCTTAATATGCAAAGAGGGTCTTAGGCCAAGACAGCGCTTTGTAACGACAGTTTTGGAAATAAAAGGCAGCAAATTCACACAGTTGCAAACTTGGCTACTTATCCTCCCCAACCGAGGCAGAATACTCAGCAGAATGCAGGTTCAGTCTGGGTTTCCATTAGGACCCTCTTGCACACACACCTGACACACTGTGGGGTCCTCTGTGTGGCGGGCCCTGCAGCTGCATGGGAAGGAGTCAGCCGGACATCTTGCTCCTCCCTCCCTATACCCACTGGGTCCTTTGCCAGTCCCTTGGCCTGAAGCTGCTTCCCCACATTTGTAGCCTGACCCTCTATGTGGAAGTAGCCTGCAGCGGGCTCCTGGGAGCTGGGAAGGGGAGCATGATCGCGGCCCCTGACCCAGAGAAGAGGTTCCAGGTGAGCCGGGCTGAGCTGGCCGTGTTCCGCCGGCATGTCTATGAGCTCCTGGTGGACCTGGAGCTGCTGCTGGGCATGGCCAAGGTACTCGCCACCCTGACCCACCCTGGTCATTCTCTAGCCTTGCTCCAGGCGGGTTGTTTCTTGGGTCAGATAGTTGGGACTCTGGGAATCCAGAGTAGGGACAGCGTTTCTGCCCGCCTGAGTATCGAGAGGGTTTCCCTATGCGAAGGGGAGGAGGGGGACAGTCGTGAGCTGCAGGGACCAGCAGGAGCAGACGGTTGGAGACAGGGAGCACCTCTACTTAGAACCCTTGGGAGATCCACCAGGGCCTAGTTCTGGAGACCCCACTTGCTTGAGATGGGGATTAAGGGGGAGCACCCTGTTGCAGGGCCTTGGGGAGGACAACCAGCGCAGCTTCCAGGCCCTGTACACTGCCAACCAGATCGTGAATGTGTGTGACCCTGCCCAGCCTGAGACCTTCCCAGTGGCCCAGGCACTGGCCTCCAGGTTCTTTGGCCAACGTGGAGGTGAAAGCCAGCATACTATCCATGCCATGGGGCACTGCCACATTGATACAGGTAGGGTGGCAGCTCGTGGGTGGTCTGGGGAGGCAGGAATGCCCTTGAAGCCCTGGCTATTCCTGAAGCATTGCGTGACCCTCAGCAAATTCTTGCCCCTCTTGGACCTCAGTTCTCTCCATCTGTAGAATGGAGCAAGGGATTGGCTGAGGGCTATGCTAGGTATGGCTTCATCTGTTCTTTCAACAAAATCTAGCCCGTGCTAGACAGAGGCTTAGACAATGATCATAAGACCGATGATCACAAAATAGACACAGTCGGTGCCATGATGGAAGATTGGGGGCTGGGGAGCCCAGAAGAAGCACTTAACCCAACTGGGTTGGGGGGATTCAAGAGGCTTTGGGGAGCAGGTGACCTTTGAACTGAGTGAGAATGAGTAAGAGTCTGCCTAAAAATAAAAGTGCCCAAGTCCTCAGGGAAGAGTGGTGTCGACGTGATCGAGATGGGGGCTCAAGGGCAGGGGAAGTTCCCTGGGTCGGACCAGGAGTTCAGGTTTGAACTTGATGCGTTTGCCGTGTCTGTGAGGCTTATGCGGAGTCTCTTTTTAACAAGTTCCTCAAAGTTTTGATTCTGATGCAGCTGAGGTTTCTGAACCACAGAACAAGCGCTTCCTCTGCTATGCCGTGATGTGGGGTGGAGTGTGGGCTTCTGGGCTGGTCAGGGAGGGTCCGAGGCCTAGAGGTCAGGAGAAGCTGTAGTGCCTTGTGCAGGGGGCTGGCTGCGGCTCGGGGAGCTGTGCCTCTGCCCTAGGGTGTCCATCTGTGCGCCTGCAGGGGAGGGTTTGCTCCTCCGCCTCCCACAGGATCCTCTCTGGGGATATGGAAACCGCCGGGGAGGGGGCTATTCCAGGGCCTGGGGCCTCCACTGCCTGACCTGTGAAAGTGAGCTGGTAACTGCGCTCCTCCCGCTGATGACTCTCCCTCTGGGACGGTCTGAAGCGACGGCCACAGTTTTGCAGGGAAAGGGCCTGGAATGGGAGGAGGGCTAGGATGATCCTCTGGGGGCCAGGGCCAGGCCCGGTCTGGGCGTGGGGGTGCAGGGGTGAGGCCAGAGCTCTGTGAGGAGCTGGGGGCTGGGACACTCTCCTTCCACTCTCCATCCGCCTTTCTGTCCAGCCTGGCTTTGGCCCTTCAAAGAGACAGTGCGAAAATGTGCGCGGAGCTGGGTGACAGCCGTGAGGCTCATGGAGCAGAACCCTGAATTCATCTTTGTCTGCTCCCAGGTCAGAGGGACAGCTGTGTGGGGGCTCTGGAGCCCAAGAGGTCCAAGGGTGAGGTTCGGAGGGTCTCTCAGGCCCGAGGGGCAGGGCTCTTCCCCACGCTGAGCTGCCCACTGGGACCCAGATGCCCAGCCCCAGGTGAGGTATCACTCCTGACCTGGCTACCGCCCAATCTGCCTCACAGGCACAGCAGCTTGAATGGGTGAAGATCCACTACCCTGGCCTGTATGCCCGGCTCCAGGAGTTTGCCGACCGTGGGCAGTTTGCACCTGTCGGGGGCACCTGGGTGGAGATGGTGAGTGCGGTCCGCGGCCCTTCAGCCTCAGGCCATACCACCATGGCCCTCCTGCCTTTGCTGATGGCTCTGTGGGCCATTTATGTCCCCTGTAGGAAATACATCCTGTATTTCCGAGGACAGACAGTCGGGCCTGAAGGGAGGAAACGGACCCTTCCTGGGCACCGGCCTTAATAACCCCTGCGTCAGAGCCTGGCTTCTGCAGGGCAGGGAGTGGGGCTCCTGCCCAGTCCCCGTCCGGCGCGGACCCCAGCCGCCTCCCACTTCCGTCCCTGCCAGGATGGGAATCTTCCCAGTGGAGAGGCCATGGTGAGGCAGTTCCTGCAGGGCCAGAACTTCTTCCTGCAGGAGTTTGGGAAGAGGTGCTCCGAGGTAGGCTGAGGGCTGCTGCGCCTGTGGGCAGGTGGGGCTGGAGCGGGACCCCGAGCCGCGGGGCTGAGGCTAGGCCGCTGTGCCCGGAGCCCTGGTCCGGTGCCGCAGAGGCCCTTCTCCCCGCAGTTCTGGCTGCCAGACACATTTGGCTACTCAGCACAGCTGCCTCAGATCATGCGCAGCTGTGGCATCAGGCACTTCCTGACTCAGAAACTAAGCTGGAACTTGGTGAACTCATTCCCGGTGAGCAGGACCCCGGGGGCCGGGGTCAGAATGGGTGTGGGTCCCTGCCTGGCCCATTCACCTCTCCTCAGGCTTATGGAGGGTCCCTGGACAGACCCCCAACTCCCACCCAGAGAGGTACCATCCCCCAGAGGCCCGCGGCAGGCAGGGGCGGTCTGAGGGCCTGGCTCTGCCTCGGCCCTGACGTTCTCCTCTGCCTCTGTCTCCCCGCCCGCAGCACCACACCTTCTTCTGGGAGGGGCTGGATGGTTCCCGTGTGCTGGCCCACTTCCCACCTGGTGACTCATACGGGATGCAGGGCTGTGTGGAGGAGGTGAGGGGTACCTGGTGGCTGAGGTGCGGGGACGGGCAGGCTGGAGAGGGCTGGGTGTCCTGTCCCGGGCTGACTCAGGCCGGCCTATCCCCACCTGTCCAGGTGCTGAAGACAGTGGCCCAAAACCGGGACAAGGGGCGGACCAACCACAGTGCCTTCCTCTTCGGCTTTGGGGACGGGGGTGGTGGCCCCACCCAGACCATGGTGGACCGCCTGAAGCGGCTGCGCAATACAGACGGGCTGCCGAGGTCGGACTTGGCCCTCCCGCAGCCGTCAGCCCTTACCGGGAACCCTTCTTTCTGCTCAAACATTGGGCCCAACCCCTCTAGACCTTCTGAGGCAGTCCTGGACCACTGGCTCTTCCCGACTCCCCCCCTGGGCGTAGGGTAGGGGAAAAGCCGAAGGTGGGGAAGGGCTTAAACCCACCGGACAGAGCTCTGCTGGCGTGTCCACAGCTGGCATGGTGCGGCTAGGGAGTTTTCTTGAGGCAGCTCCTTTCTGTGGTGGCTGGATTTCTCGTCTGCTCTGGCATGGAGGAAGGGTGAGCCATGTGACCGCTGGACACTTGAGAGGCCCAGACATGCCATTTCCTTCAGGGTGCAGCTGTCTTCTCCAGGAAGGCTCTTCTCGGCGCTGGAGAGCGACTCAGGGCAGCTGTGCACGTGGGTCGGGGAGCTCTTCCTAGAGCTACATAACGGCACCTATACCACCCACGCCCAGGTCAGGAGCTGGTCAGAGAGCTGGTCGCAGGGCAGGACAGGGAGGGTGTGTCCTCGTCGGAGAAGGCAGCCCGGGATGGGCCCAGCCCAGATCTGAGGGAACAGGCTGTGTTTCAAGGAGGAGCTGAGAGGAAAGAAATTGGAGAGCTGAGTCAGTCAGGGGCCCGGAGGAGGCAGGACAGAGTCCCTGAAGGCGGAGGGGCCTGGGCTGACGGCAGAGAGGAGAGCATCTGGGGCAGGTCACCAAGGAGAGGCTTTGTGCAGGAAGCCCCGGGGAGCTGTCCGGGGTTCTGAGCAAGGGAGGGCTCTCAGAAGGTGTCCTGGGAAGCTCGAGGCAGCTCTAGACTGACCCTCCCCACCCCCCGGCTCAGATCAAGAAGGGGAACCGGGAGTGTGAGCGGATCCTGCACGACGTGGAGCTGCTTAGCAGCCTGGCCTTGGCCCGCAGCGCGCGGTTTCTGTACCCAGCAGCCCAGCTGCAGGGCTTGTGGAGGTCAGCCTGGCTTCTGCCCCCTGCTACCCGCCTGCCCTCACCTCAGACATCTCTGTGACTGTGCCCCCAGCTTCCGTTCCTCCTCCCCTCCCGGGCGCCCCCATCTCCTGCCCTTGGCCTCCATAGACTCCTGCTGCTGAACCAGTTCCATGATGTGGTGACTGGAAGCTGCATCCAGTTGGTGGCAGAGGAAGCCATGTGCCACTATGAAGGTGAGGCTGACAACATTTCTGCCACGTTCTCCAGCACCTAGGGCAGGTACAAGTGTCCCCATAGGACACTCAGGTCATCCTGGGCCTGTTGACCACTCATGCCAACCAATTTCTCCTTAGACATCCGTTCCCATGGCAACACACTGCTCAGTGCTGCAGCTGCAGCCCTGTGCGCTGGGGAGCCAGGTCCTGAGGGTCTCCTCATTGTCAACACACTGCCCTGGAAGCGCACTGAAGTGTTGGCCCTGCCAAGGCCTGGTGGGGCCCACAGCCTCGGTATGAGTTGGGGAGAGAGGCTGGGAACACTGCCTTGGGGATGTGCCCTGGGGTGCCCAGGCTGGAGAGTAGTAGCGGTCTCCACCTCCTGAGCACGGCTTCTGCAAGCACAGGGAGGCTGCCCTGATGCTCAGGCCTTGTCCCCAGCCCTGGTGACAGTGCCCAGCATGGGCTATGCTCCTGTTCCCACCCCCGCCTCCCCGCAGCCCCTGCTGCCCCAACAGCCTGTGTCAGCAGTGCAAGAGGTGAGTGCTGGCATGTCCACGGGGTGCGGCTGTCCTGGGCCATCCCTAACAGATGTCTGAGGAGCAGGTGGCAAGGCGGGGCCGGGGGGGCAGGGCCGGGGGGCTGTTGGCTGCGGGAGGCCCGCGCACACTCAGCCCAAAGGCCTCCTCCCACCGAGACCGACGGTGCTGTGACTCTGGACAATGGCATCATCCGGGCGAGGCTGGACCCCACTGGCTGCCTGACATCCCTGGTGCTGGTGGCTTCTGGCAGGTGCCCACCCCCACTGCCCTCTCCCAGTGCCTGGCAGGTGGATCCCAGACCCTGCTCCTTCTGGTCTCAGGCCAGCCACAGCACTGCCCACGGTGACCCCCCAGTGGCTGTGGACTGGGCCTCCAGTGGATCAGGGCACCTGGGCTTGTTGTCTCCTGTCCCCTGCGCCTACTCACCCTTCCCCCACCCCATGTGGAGCGGCTGGGGAGACCAAGGTCATATAGTTGTAAAGCACGAATCCTCATGTCCTTCCAGAGAGGCCATTGCTGAGGGTGCCATGGGGAACCAGTTCGTGCTGTTTGAAGATGTCCCCTTGTACTGGGACGCGTGGGACGTCATGGATTACCACCTGGAGACACGGTGCATGTTGGGCAGGACTTGGAGGGATGGTGATGGGAGTGCAGATGTGTTGGGTCCCTTCCATCAGCCTGCCCTGGCTCAAGCCTCCCACCTGTCCCACAGGAAGCCAGTGCTGGGCCAGGCAGGGACATTGGCAGTGGGCACTGAGGGTGGCATGCGAGGCAGTGCCTGGTTCCTGCTGCAGATCAGCCCCAGCAGTTGGCTGCGCCAGGAGGTCGTGCTGGATGTTGGCTGCCCCTATGTCCGCTTCCACACTGAGGTAGCAGTGGGGGCAGGGTGGTGGGTATTTTCCCCAAGTGGGGCTGCAAGGAGGGGCCAGACCAGGCCTGTGTGTGTTTGCCCCTCTCTGCGTCCCCCCACTGCTAACCCAGGTGCACTGGCACGAGGCCCACAAGTTCCTGAAGGTGGAGTTCCCTGCCCGTGTGCGCAGCCCCCAGGCTACCTACGAGGTCCAGTTTGGCCATCTGCAGCGGCCCACCCACTACAACACCTCCTGGGACTGGGCTCGATTTGAGGTCCGACATGGGATGGGTTCCAGGGGGCTGGCTCCTCACTGGTTGGGAAGAGACAAGGTGGTGGTAAGGGGTGAGGAGGAGGGTGACCAGCATTTGCTGGTTCCTAACACGTGTGCCAGGCATTATGCTAAATGCTTTATGTTCAGTTTGATATTCATGCCCATTTGGTGGGGTAAGTACTGTTATCCCCATTTCACAGATGAGGGACTGAGGCTTACACCAGTTGGGTGGTGAGAGCCAGAATCAAACCCTGTGGTCCCAGCACGTGCCCTCACTGTAGGGAAAGGAGCCCTGGGGCACGAGGAGGGGGGCCGCCAAGTGGTCTCGTGTCTGCCCCCCAGGTGTGGGCCCACCGCTGGGCGGATCTGTCAGAGCACGGCTTCGGGCTGGCCCTGCTTAATGACTGCAAGTACGGCGTGTCGGTCCGAGGCAGCGTCCTCAGCCTCTCTCTGTGAGTTGGGTATCTGTCGGGCCTGGGAAACTGGCATGGGACGGGGGTCTTCCCGATGCAGAACTTAGGTAGCTCCTGCCCGGCTCACACCCACTTTCCCCACCCCAGCTTACGGGCACCTAAGGCCCCCGACGCCACTGCAGACATGGGGCGCCACGAGTTCACCTACGCGCTGATGCCACACCAGGGTGAGCGCTGCGTCGCGGGACGCCGCTCTGCGCTGCTCTCCTCTGAGCCTCGGTTTCTCCAGCTGTCCCTAGGGGAGACTGCTGCAGCCCCACGCCCCCACCCCTGCTTCCTACCACACGGCCCTTTCCGGTCCGCACCCAGGCTCTTTCCAGGACGCCGGCGTCATCCAAGCTGCCTACAGCCTTAACTTCCCCCTGTTGGTGCTGCCTGTCCCGGGCCCGGCACCCACTGCTGCCTGGAGCGCCTTCTCAGTGTCCTCGCCCGCGGTGGTGGTGGAGACCGTCAAACAGGCAAGGGCCGGGGCGGGGTCCCAAGCCGGCCCCTCACCTGCCACCACCCACCGCCCACCTCCTCCCACAGGCCGAGGCCAGCCCGGAGGGGCGCAGGCTGGTTCTACGTCTGTACGAAGCCCATGGCAGCCACGTCGACTGCTGGCTGCACACGTCGCTGCCAGTTGAGGAAGCCTTCCTGTGAGTGGGGTGCAGAGTGGGGGTGGGAGTCCAGCCCCAGCAGGGCCCTCACAGCCCCTCCTGTCCTCCAGCTGCGACCTCCTGGAGCGGCGCGACCCCGCTGGCCTCCTGCCCCTCCAGGACACCCGCCTGAAGCTCGCCTTCTCTCCCTTCCAAGTGCGGTCCCTGGTGCTCGTGCTGCGGTCCCCAGCAAACTGAGCCCCTGAGGGCGGGGTTTTGTTTGGGAAGCCTTTGGGGGCTCCTCATTTGGCCTCCCCAACCTGAAGCAAGGTTCTGTCACTGCTTGAGCAATAAACCCTTGGCTCAGGAACCCTGCGGGAACTGGCTCGCTGCCCTGGGGGCCTAGCTTCCGGCTTTCCCCAGGGAAGGGTTTTCCCCAGGCACCTGGGGGCAGGAGCAAGCAGACCTAAGGTTGTGTGTGTGCAGATTGGGGCTGCAGCCCCATGACAGAGATTGAGGGTATCCGGGACTACAAGCTAAGAGACCGTGCAGTAGGAAGCTCCTCCCGTGTCAGCAGGCCGAGGACCTGGGGCTGGGGAGAGGGCCAGACGGTGAGTTCTGGTTGGCTCCCACCAAGAGGAGCATTGACTAGTCAGGGTCGGGAACAGCCACAGGCCCTCAGGACTCCTGTATTGGGGGGGCTATGGAGCCTGGGCTGCTCGGGGCCTGCATCTCCACACTACCTCTGGGGGGATGTCTCGGCAGAGGCAGACTGTCTCCTGGGAGCCAGGGCTTTCAGGACTGGCGTGGGGCTCAGTCTGACGTGGTGAAGAAGAGGCCCACCTGTCCCCAGGGCTGGCAGCAGGCCCTCCCAACGTGGCTTTCCCAGACCTTTAGCAGCCGGTCCGAGAGGCACCAAGAAGTTCATCAGTTTATAAAAAGTTACAGCATTTTTCCCATGGGTTTAAAAAATGGGGAAGGTGGGTTACAATTAAAAACATCATAGTCGTGCATGGAACAGCCGACAGGGCCATGGGCAGCCAGCCCCCTGCAACTACCTCCTGCATTTAAGGAGCGGCACAGGCCACCAGGTCCAGTGGGGTGAGGTGGATGCAAGGAAGGAGACCATCCTGCTAGGACGCTGATGTCCTCTCAGGCTCCAAGGATAGGGTATCAGCCTTGGATCTTTTGGTTTCTGGGCTCTGCAGCGGCCTGTGGGGAAAGACAGGTGAGATGGCAGCTCAGACCCCCGGCTGGGGGCTGCCCCAGCAGCCTTGCTCCACCAGCCTGTTCTGGTGGTGCCCCTTCCCTCCGCAGAACAGGGTGTTGAGGAAGGCCCACCCGAGGTCGCCAATCATCCCGTCCTCTTCCCCGTTCCAGGGACTGGGGGGTCTTCTGGATCCTGCTGGATGCTGGGCCCCTTGGGCTGCTGGGCTGTAGGTTGCTCAGGTGGGCCTCTCCGTGCCCTGCGTGTCCTGGAACGGGGCTTGCTTGGAAGTGGAGGGTCCTGGGTGAGAGACCCAGGTCTCTGAGTGGCTCAGAGAGTAGTTCAGAGGATGGTCAGCACCCCCGCTGTTAGGGGAGGGCAGCTGCCCAACAGCCTGGTGTGAGAGGTGTGGCCCCAGCAGGGGGCAGCGCAGAGGAGGTAGAAGCACACCTGGGGGGGGGGCCGTACCTCCACTCTGTCCTCAGGACCCCACTGTGCTCCCTTGAATTTCTTCATGCGGAACGTGTCCCCTGCAGGACACTGATGTTGGGGTGGGAGGGTCCTGTGGCCGCAGCCCCCTTTCCCCAGACTCCCCCTCTCCCCCTCCAGTGACTCCGCAGCCTGGTGCAGGGGCTAGGATGAAGAAGGGTGCGGTAGCTCTTGCAGGCAACTAGTGCTTTCTGCTCTGTTAGTTTCTTACATTAGGAGTAGCTTACCTTTGGGTGCCAGGGGTCCAGCATCCCCCTAAAATGTAATGGGGAGAATTTAGGAATCAAGCCAGTTGGGGGAGGGGTAGCTTTCCCTGGAGAGGCGGAACTCACACCTCTCTTCCAGGTCAGTGGAGCTCCTCCTAGAAGACTGATCCTCTCCCCCCCAGGTGAGAGCCCGCATCACTCGCTGGGACTCAGGAGGGCAGGGGCGTAGCACAGCGAAGGCTTAGACCTCAGGGGCAGCGTGGCCCTTGGGGCCCTAGATAGGCCCTGATCACCTCCACCTGGGGGACCCCAGCTCTTGCCCTGCTGTAACTCCAGGTATCCCCACCCTACCAGCTTCCTTTGACTACGTGAGCGTGAGCGTTAGGGCCCGAACCTGGAACCAGATGGTGCGGCCGTGCCGGTCCCGCAGAGAGCTCATGCCGGGGATGCTGTAGCACCGCAGCCAGGCCCGGAAGGCAGCAAAGTCCTCCTCCCCACTCTCTGGCCCATAACCTTTGCCCCCTGTGGGACAGAGGAGCAGCAGGAGGTCAGAGGGCTGCGTCAGGCTGGGAGGAAGGAGAGCCTGGGTGACCTGGCCCAGCGCTCAGCCGCGTCAGCTGGCGGACCGAGTCAGAGGGCAAGGGCTCCCCTCTTCCGGCAGTGTGACCTGAGGCTGGTGTGGGTGTTCCCCGCTCTGGGCCGTGGCTTCCCCATCCGGGAGTGAGGGGAAGAGTCCCTGCCCTGCCTGCCTTAGGGGCAGCTTGGAGGGCATAGAGAGCTGGCAGGTGAAGAGGCCTAGTGCATTTAGCAACGAACTTGGAAGATCTGCAAACTTCCATTGCGCAGGCAGGGAACCAGGCCCAGAGAAGGGCAGGAACTGTCCCAGGGTCACACAATATGCCAAAGCAGAGGTGGCTGGCCATTTTTGCCTTCTGGGCCTCACCCAGCTGGACCACTTCCTTGGGCACTGAGTGGCACAGCTCCAGCAAGTCCGGGTTCCGCAGCTTGGCCCTGATCTTCTGGCTCAGGGTCAGTTCTGGGCTCTAGAGAAGGGCAGGGGCAGGACCTGGCTGTCAACATGAGGCAGGCCCACTCAGAAGGTAGCTGACCCCCCAGGGAGCAGATCCCCTCTGAGCTTGGCAGGACTCGGAGATGTGTGTCCAGACCCCCACCCCCCAATCACATACATTGTAGAGAAGGGGAAGTGAGACCCAAATCTGAGAAAGGAGCTGCTTGAGCTAATCTGAAGACACCTGACCCAAGACCATGCCCTTGGTGGCCTGCACCAGTAGGTGTATGTGCATCCCTCCTTGAACCCTCACCTGCCTGCGCTGCTGTAGTGCCTCCAGAACTGTGCGGGCCTTCTGGAAGGGGGGTATCTTCAGCCTGCAAGGGGGTGGAGGAGAAGCCGTGCTAGGCAGTGGAGAATGTGGGCACACCCAGCCCACCTCAGCCCTCATGCCCGGGGCTGCCTGCTGACCGGTGCAGGATCTCTGCCCGCAGATAGTTTCCAATGCCATTGAAGAACCTTTGGTCCAAGAGGGCTTCACAGATGGGCCGGTCAAAGGCCTTGTCCGCTAGGTTTCGTAACACATTTTTCCTGGGGGGACACAGCCTGGGCACATGAGATTTATTCTCCCCCCATGCTGGGCACCCCCCAATCCTTGCCGGCCACCTTGTCATGAGATAGTAGAGAGTGGCTGGGGAAAGAAACTGGGAGTCCCAGGACCCCTTTTCCCAGTCTCAGTGCTATTTTGGCAGTGGGAACCTCAGTTTTGCTACCTGTTAAATGGGAACAATATGGGGAGTTAATTCACTTCAAAAGGTGAAAAATACCAATCAGAAGCAACGTGTTCAAGGAAACACGAGTTTGTATATGTTGTATGTATATCACCAAAGTGCCTCAATCCCCAGACATTGTGGTGCTCAATCTGGAACTCCCTAGGCCTTCTGGTTGCTTCAATACGGGGATTTGCCATTGCCAGCGTCAAGACCTGGGGAAGCTGGCACTGGCTGTGGGCAGCAGGTGCATGGGGGGAAGTCCTGGCTTTTGGTGCTCCAGCCACCCCCACCAGCCTGCAAGGGTTGCGGGTCTCTCACCACCACCGCGAAGACACATCTTTCTTTGTGTAAAAGGGTCATGGCAAAACTGACTCAGTGATAGGCACAAGGAACATATGAAATAGGGGCCAGAAGACAGAGTTTTGGGGTAAAGATAAAGGCAAAGGTAAGCCTGGGTGATGGGATCACTGAAGGGAGCAGATGCCCACAGGCTCCCCCGCTGTAAGACTGAAAGCAGCCAAAATGCTCAGAAACTTCAGAGCCAGCTGGCGGCTGACTTGGGGCATGACTCCCCAGGAAAAGTGGGGTGGTAGGAATACAGGACCACTGCAGACGCTTCCCAGGGGTGTACTTAAGGTCATGCCCGGGAAGGCCTGGAGTCAGCTGCCTTCTGTGATAACAGAAGCCCTGCCTCACCCCATGGGGCAATAAAGTCTCCTAAGGCCCAGCTGAAGGCACACCACCCTCTAGGGAGGGAGGGCTGGCCGGGTCCACACCAGGCCTTTGCGTCTCCAGTCCTTATCAGTTAGAATGCTTCTCCTGTACAGCTCTGCTCGGCTGGCTCCCCCTCCTCAGGAGGCCTCGGCTCTGATGTCAGTGGCCCTTCCTAACACCCCTCCCCTGCGTCCCTGGCCAGAAGTCATTCTCTGCCTGTTCGATTTTTCTTCAGATGTGTCAATTTGAAATCATCTAGTTTGTGTCCTTGTCCCCCCTGCCCTACCTGAACTTTGTCTCTGTGGGAACAGAAGCCACATCCTTTCGGATTAATGCTGCACTCCCAACACCCAGAAGGCCTGGCATGAAGCAGGACTCATACATGCTTCATCTTTAGAGGAAGGGAAGTGGCTGACACCATGTTATCTCAAATACCCTGCCACATCCTAGGTGGGCTATTATCCTTCCCACAAGCAGGACACAGTCACAGGAGACCACAGGATGCAGACCAGTGGGCAGGCAGAATGTGGGAGACCCCAAAACCCAACTCAGTCTGTGTCATTAGGCAGTCCTCTCCCCACCCGCTTGAAGCAATTCCTGCTCACTTCCTTTCTGGTCCTGTCCTTAAAGCTCCACCTCCTTCCTTCTGCACCCAGAAGCAGAGTGGGATGCCGATCCAAGCCCCCGCTCTGGTGCTGACTGGCCATGCTCCCAGGGCATGCCTACCCACCCTCCTCTTAAACCTCACCCCCCAACACAAGCGTTGGGTTTCCCTATCCATTAGCTCAGTTGGCTGCCCTCCGGAGAGGACACTGTCTTGGTCTACTGAGGCCTAGAGGGCCTGGGACTCACCCCTCGTTGGCCAATGAGGTGCTAACAGAGCCAGGCCCAGGGCCCCAGTACCATGTTCATCACCCCAGCTGCTGGCCCTACCTGAACTGCTCATACTCCAGCAAGACACAAGGCCCACGGCCGGGCTGCCATCGGCCCCCAAGGTCCCAGCGGCCAAAGCGGCGGATGTCCACAAAGCAGAGGGCCAGTCGGGGACCGGGTGGAGCTGTGTAAAAGCGCAGGTGGGCATGGGGTGGCAGCGCATCACCAGGTGCCAGCTGGAAGGAGCCAGACATGCCAAAGTGGAAGGTGAGGGCCAGTGGCTCCCGTGGGGGCTGGGCTCCAGGCAGGGGACTCAGTATAAGACGCAGTTCCTTGCCGCGGGCTGAGGCTGAGATGCAGTAGGCACTGCTCTCAAAGGGCACCTCGGGGTTGCGGCTGATGGGTGACTTGTCCACACACCCGCCAAACACAAGCCCCTTGCATGCCTCATTCACAAAGTGGCTGGCCAGGTGCAGCTCAGGACCCTCAGGCATTCTGTGGAAGGGGTGGCTGGGCCCTGTGGAAGGAGGATGACAGCAGGTTGGGCCAGGTGTGCACACTATGAGGTAGGAATTATCACCTTCATTTACAAAGGGGAACTCTGAGGGTCAGAAGGGACCACAGTCAATTGGAGTTGACAGGAAAGTCAGCTATCCTCACAGCCCCTGGCCCCTACCTGAGAGAGCTGGGAAAGCCTAGGGCACTGGGGAGCTCAGATTGGGGACGTGTGACTGCCTTGCTCGTTAACCCCCTCCCATGGGCTTTCAGGAACTTGACGCTTTTAGAATAAAGTCCAGATCCTGTCTGGGCCCAAACCGTCATCTCATTTCCTCCCAGGTTCCCCTCATTCACTTGCTCCAAGAACCGTGCTCTTCCGATCGTCATGCCTTCACACCCGCTGTCCCATCAGTCTGGGACACTTGAGAGAGGCCCTTCCTGACCACCTCATCCAAGGTAGCGTCCCCCACCTCCACCTCTTTTCTTGGAGGTACTCCCAGAACCTGGAATTGGTCTTCCTGTCTGCCTCTACACCACTCCCACCCAGAGTGGCAGCTCTGCCTGCTCACCACCCCATCTGCTTAGAACCTGCCCTGCATCTGTTGCCACAGGACTGAGGGAATGGACCTGACCCCGTCTGGGAGAGAGCTGGGAAAACGGAGGCTCGGAGGCTCAGCTAGCAGTGAGGACACGCCTGCCACCATCCACTGGTCAGGGCCGAGGACGAGGGAAGGAAGGCAGGTGTCCCCAGGTACATCTGCGGAAGCCAAGTCCACAGGGCTCCGAGGAAGGGCTCCCGGAGCTCTAGGCAAGCATGGTCCAGGGAGCTAGGAAAGGCCCATTCAGTGTCTTGGGCACACCACACTTCCTCACCCTTGCCCCCTCCAACTTTCTTCTACCCCAGGACACTGCGTGATGGAAGGTGAAAGTATGTGGGGGTCAGAGTGGAGCATTTAGCCAGGGCACACTCCTTTGTCCTGGCTCCCCCACCTCAGCGCTGACCAGGGCCTGGCACCTGAAAGGGTTCGTTTCGTGGGAAGAGATGATCGTCCAGATACCTAATTTCTCGAGGGAGGGGTGCCCTAGGGTTCACCTCCCATCCCCCGACCGCTGGGGCCTGTCCTCGGTTAGCCCTTGCTCCCTTCCTCCCCAAGACCCCCAAATACCATCCTCTCCTCAATTCTGCTGCCCCCAGTCCCAGTGTACCTGCGTCCAGAGCAGCTCCCGGCTGGGCTAGAGCCCTAACCTGCAGCCCCTCGGCTTGGAGCCAGGGGCGTTGCCGCTCTCGGGAGCACGCTGGGAGCCGTGGTGCCGCTCCAGCGCCTGCCGGGAAGTGTAGTTCCTGGGGCAGGGGCAGGTGGTGAGAGGCTGTTCGGGGTGGGGGNCGTGAGCGTTAGGGCCCGAACCTGGAACCAGATGGTGCGGCCGTGCCGGTCCCGCAGAGAGCTCATGCCGGGGATGCTGTAGCACCGCAGCCAGGCCCGGAAGGCAGCAAAGTCCTCCTCCCCACTCTCTGGCCCATAACCTTTGCCCCCTGTGGGACAGAGGAGCAGCAGGAGGTCAGAGGGCTGCGTCAGGCTGGGAGGAAGGAGAGCCTGGGTGACCTGGCCCAGCGCTCAGCCGCGTCAGCTGGCGGACCAAGTCAGAGGGCAAGGGCTCCCCTCTTCCGGCAGTGTGACCTGAGGCTGGTGTGGGTGTTCCCCGCTCTGGGCCGTGGCTTCCCCATCCGGGAGTGAGGGGAAGAGTCCCTGCCCTGCCTGCCTTAGGGGCAGCTTGGAGGGCATAGAGAGCTGGCAGGTGAAGAGGCCTAGTGCATTTAGCAACGAACTTGGAAGATCTGCAAACTTCCATTGCGCAGGCAGGGAACCAGGCCCAGAGAAGGGCAGGAACTGTCCCAGGGTCACACAATATGCCAAAGCAGAGGTGGCTGGCCATTTTTGCCTTCTGGGCCTCACCCAGCTGGACCACTTCCTTGGGCACTGAGTGGCACAGCTCCAGCAAGTCCGGGTTCCGCAGCTTGGCCCTGATCTTCTGGCTCAGGGTCAGTTCTGGGCTCTAGAGAAGGGCAGGGGCAGGACCTGGCTGTCAACATGAGGCAGGCCCACTCAGAAGGTAGCTGACCCCCCAGGGAGCAGATCCCCTCTGAGCTTGGCAGGACTCGGAGATGTGTGTCCAGACCCCCACCCCCCAATCACATACATTGTAGAGAAGGGGAAGTGAGACCCAAATCTGAGAAAGGAGCTGCTTGAGCTAATCTGAAGACACCTGACCCAAGACCATGCCCTTGGTGGCCTGCACCAGTAGGTGTATGTGCATCCCTCCTTGAACCCTCACCTGCCTGCGCTGCTGTAGTGCCTCCAGAACTGTGCGGGCCTTCTGGAAGGGGGGTATCTTCAGCCTGCAAGGGGGTGGAGGAGAAGCCGTGCTAGGCAGTGGAGAATGTGGGCACACCCAGCCCACCTCAGCCCTCATGCCCGGGGCTGCCTGCTGACCGGTGCAGGATCTCTGCCCGCAGATAGTTTCCAATGCCATTGAAGAACCTTTGGTCCAAGAGGGCTTCACAGATGGGCCGGTCAAAGGCCTTGTCCGCTAGGTTTCGTAACACATTTTTCCTGGGGGGACACAGCCTGGGCACATGAGATTTATTCTCCCCCCATGCTGGGCACCCCCCAATCCTTGCCGGCCACCTTGTCATGAGATAGTAGAGAGTGGCTGGGGAAAGAAACTGGGAGTCCCAGGACCCCTTTTCCCAGTCTCAGTGCTATTTTGGCAGTGGGAACCTCAGTTTTGCTACCTGTTAAATGGGAACAATATGGGGAGTTAATTCACTTCAAAAGGTGAAAAATACCAATCAGAAGCAACGTGTTCAAGGAAACACGAGTTTGTATATGTTGTATGTATATCACCAAAGTGCCTCAATCCCCAGACATTGTGGTGCTCAATCTGGAACTCCCTAGGCCTTCTGGTTGCTTCAATACGGGGATTTGCCATTGCCAGCGTCAAGACCTGGGGAAGCTGGCACTGGCTGTGGGCAGCAGGTGCATGGGGGGAAGTCCTGGCTTTTGGTGCTCCAGCCACCCCCACCAGCCTGCAAGGGTTGCGGGTCTCTCACCACCACCGCGAAGACACATCTTTCTTTGTGTAAAAGGGTCATGGCAAAACTGACTCAGTGATAGGCACAAGGAACATATGAAATAGGGGCCAGAAGACAGAGTTTTGGGGTAAAGATAAAGGCAAAGGTAAGCCTGGGTGATGGGATCACTGAAGGGAGCAGATGCCCACAGGCTCCCCCGCTGTAAGACTGAAAGCAGCCAAAATGCTCAGAAACTTCAGAGCCAGCTGGCGGCTGACTTGGGGCATGACTCCCCAGGAAAAGTGGGGTGGTAGGAATACAGGACCACTGCAGACGCTTCCCAGGGGTGTACTTAAGGTCATGCCCGGGAAGGCCTGGAGTCAGCTGCCTTCTGTGATAACAGAAGCCCTGCCTCACCCCATGGGGCAATAAAGTCTCCTAAGGCCCAGCTGAAGGCACACCACCCTCTAGGGAGGGAGGGCTGGCCGGGTCCACACCAGGCCTTTGCGTCTCCAGTCCTTATCAGTTAGAATGCTTCTCCTGTACAGCTCTGCTCGGCTGGCTCCCCCTCCTCAGGAGGCCTCGGCTCTGATGTCAGTGGCCCTTCCTAACACCCCTCCCCTGCGTCCCTGGCCAGAAGTCATTCTCTGCCTGTTCGATTTTTCTTCAGATGTGTCAATTTGAAATCATCTAGTTTGTGTCCTTGTCCCCCCTGCCCTACCTGAACTTTGTCTCTGTGGGAACAGAAGCCACATCCTTTCGGATTAATGCTGCACTCCCAACACCCAGAAGGCCTGGCATGAAGCAGGACTCATACATGCTTCATCTTTAGAGGAAGGGAAGTGGCTGACACCATGTTATCTCAAATACCCTGCCACATCCTAGGTGGGCTATTATCCTTCCCACAAGCAGGACACAGTCACAGGAGACCACAGGATGCAGACCAGTGGGCAGGCAGAATGTGGGAGACCCCAAAACCCAACTCAGTCTGTGTCATTAGGCAGTCCTCTCCCCACCCGCTTGAAGCAATTCCTGCTCACTTCCTTTCTGGTCCTGTCCTTAAAGCTCCACCTCCTTCCTTCTGCACCCAGAAGCAGAGTGGGATGCCGATCCAAGCCCCCGCTCTGGTGCTGACTGGCCATGCTCCCAGGGCATGCCTACCCACCCTCCTCTTAAACCTCACCCCCCAACACAAGCGTTGGGTTTCCCTATCCATTAGCTCAGTTGGCTGCCCTCCGGAGAGGACACTGTCTTGGTCTACTGAGGCCTAGAGGGCCTGGGACTCACCCCTCGTTGGCCAATGAGGTGCTAACAGAGCCAGGCCCAGGGCCCCAGTACCATGTTCATCACCCCAGCTGCTGGCCCTACCTGAACTGCTCATACTCCAGCAAGACACAAGGCCCACGGCCGGGCTGCCATCGGCCCCCAAGGTCCCAGCGGCCAAAGCGGCGGATGTCCACAAAGCAGAGGGCCAGTCGGGGACCGGGTGGAGCTGTGTAAAAGCGCAGGTGGGCATGGGGTGGCAGCGCATCACCAGGTGCCAGCTGGAAGGAGCCAGACATGCCAAAGTGGAAGGTGAGGGCCAGTGGCTCCCGTGGGGGCTGGGCTCCAGGCAGGGGACTCAGTATAAGACGCAGTTCCTTGCCGCGGGCTGAGGCTGAGATGCAGTAGGCACTGCTCTCAAAGGGCACCTCGGGGTTGCGGCTGATGGGTGACTTGTCCACACACCCGCCAAACACAAGCCCCTTGCATGCCTCATTCACAAAGTGGCTGGCCAGGTGCAGCTCAGGACCCTCAGGCATTCTGTGGAAGGGGTGGCTGGGCCCTGTGGAAGGAGGATGACAGCAGGTTGGGCCAGGTGTGCACACTATGAGGTAGGAATTATCACCTTCATTTACAAAGGGGAACTCTGAGGGTCAGAAGGGACCACAGTCAATTGGAGTTGACAGGAAAGTCAGCTATCCTCACAGCCCCTGGCCCCTACCTGAGAGAGCTGGGAAAGCCTAGGGCACTGGGGAGCTCAGATTGGGGACGTGTGACTGCCTTGCTCGTTAACCCCCTCCCATGGGCTTTCAGGAACTTGACGCTTTTAGAATAAAGTCCAGATCCTGTCTGGGCCCAAACCGTCATCTCATTTCCTCCCAGGTTCCCCTCATTCACTTGCTCCAAGAACCGTGCTCTTCCCATCGTCATGCCTTCACACCCGCTGTCCCATCAGTCTGGGACACTTGAGAGAGGCCCTTCCTGACCACCTCATCCAAGGTAGCGTCCCCCACCTCCACCTCTTTTCTTGGAGGTACTCCCAGAACCTGGAATTGGTCTTCCTGTCTGCCTCTACACCACTCCCACCCAGAGTGGCAGCTCTGCCTGCTCACCACCCCATCTGCTTAGAACCTGCCCTGCATCTGTTGCCACAGGACTGAGGGAATGGACCTGACCCCGTCTGGGAGAGAGCTGGGAAAACGGAGGCTCGGAGGCTCAGCTAGCAGTGAGGACACGCCTGCCACCATCCACTGGTCAGGGCCGAGGACGAGGGAAGGAAGGCAGGTGTCCCCAGGTACATCTGCGGAAGCCAAGTCCACAGGGCTCCGAGGAAGGGCTCCCGGAGCTCTAGGCAAGCATGGTCCAGGGAGCTAGGAAAGGCCCATTCAGTGTCTTGGGCACACCACACTTCCTCACCCTTGCCCCCTCCAACTTTCTTCTACCCCAGGACACTGCGTGATGGAAGGTGAAAGTATGTGGGGGTCAGAGTGGAGCATTTAGCCAGGGCACACTCCTTTGTCCTGGCTCCCCCACCTCAGCGCTGACCAGGGCCTGGCACCTGAAAGGGTTCGTTTCGTGGGAAGAGATGATCGTCCAGATACCTAATTTCTCGAGGGAGGGGTGCCCTAGGGTTCACCTCCCATCCCCCGACCGCTGGGGCCTGTCCTCGGTTAGCCCTTGCTCCCTTCCTCCCCAAGACCCCCAAATACCATCCTCTCCTCAATTCTGCTGCCCCCAGTCCCAGTGTACCTGCGTCCAGAGCAGCTCCCGGCTGGGCTAGAGCCCTAACCTGCAGCCCCTCGGCTTGGAGCCAGGGGCGTTGCCGCTCTCGGGAGCACGCTGGGAGCCGTGGTGCCGCTCCAGCGCCTGCCGGGAAGTGTAGTTCCTGGGGCAGGGGCAGGTGGTGAGAGGCTGTTCGGGGTGGGGGTCCTGAGCTAGGGGCCCGGGGTGTGGGAAAGGCTTCGGGGCAGTCACCTGGCTAGGAGCCTAGCTTCCTGGTGCCCAGCACCAGCGGGAGCAGGGGCAGGTCTGAGTTGCTTGGTTGCAGCTGTCTCTCTGTGGCTAAGGGAAGTCACCCAGCTCGTCTGGGACAGGGTAGGCACTCCCAGCAGGAAACAGCAGCAACGTGCAGATGAAGAGAAGCCTGCAGCTGTGTGCAGGGCTGGCACAGGTGCACAATAAGTGCAGGCCCAGGGGACCCGGTGGTGATGCTGGGTATCAATGCACAGTCGGACATAACACATAAACAAAAACATCACCACCACCTGCCGGGTATGAAGTGCAGCCAAGCTACAAAAACTAGAGCTGAGAAGCAGAACCCACTTCCGGTAGTCCTGTGATGGTGGGGCGGGGAGCGGGGGTGGCCCTCTCTGCAGTAACATTTGAGTTGACACCTCCGCAGGAGCCAGTAGACAAAGAGTGGGGGCAAGACCGTACACCAGGCAGGAACAGCCAGCGCAAAGGCTCGAAGACTGGAAAGCCACTGGCCCATTGAAAGATGGCCTATGCAGTAGAGTGTGGCCGAGGGCAGTGCTGGGAGGGGAGGGCAGTCACGTGAGCAAGGTCAGGTCGGCTTCTGACTCAGGACACCTCTGTAAGGCGTCTGCATCTCATCCTAAGTGTAGAGGCACTGGTGCCTGTCCCATGGCCATGACTTGCCCCCTTCATCTACTTACTTATTTTGGTGTGTTTTAAAGTAAATTAGATAAATTATGACATTCCATCCTTAACCCTTCGGCATGCATTTCTGAAAAACAGTATCATACAAAGCCACAAAACCTTTATCATATTTACTAAAGTTAATAACTCACTATGTAATACCTAATCCACATTCAAATCTCCCTAATTGTCCCCCAAATGCCTTTTATAGCTGGTTTGTTCAAGGAAGTGTCCAATAGGGATATGTCTCTTCAATCATTTCTAATTAGATGCAATCACCTTTCCCACCACCCCACCACCCCTTTTTGCGGGGTCTTCATAATACTGACTTTTCTGAAGAGTTCAAGCCAATCATCCTTTGAGATGCCCCATCACATTGTGGATTTCTGAATGTTTCCTCAAATCTATCATATCTATTTCCATCATAATTATCATCACCTATCTTCTAGATGCTGCTCTGTAGTCCAAACT